GACTCAAGTTGACACATCTAGGGCTATGTCAAGCCCTCTCCCCGTAGACTCCTAGCACAGGCTCTCCGCCGGGAACTTTATAATAATATACATTCATTCCCGGAAATTAACTACTCCGCCACGCTGGCCATGCAAAATGACACTTTTACCCTCTCCGCTTCTCCGCGGTACTGTAGGCCATGGCAAAGTCCTCCGTATGTCGAAACTTTCGTCCCGGGGGTGATCAGAAACTCATGTTTGTGCCCTGCTACGTAGCCTTAGGACATCTACTCCCATCACCGCAGCCAAGGCTCAGCAACTGAGGCGGGTTTCGTGTCATAACCAGACATGGCGCCATGCCTCTGAGCCCACTACAGCGGGCTAAGCGGGCCTTCGTGTCGGTGCTCCTAACCCTAGCAACGGCCTACGGCTTGCACGTAGACGTCACCAGAGACTCTTCGGACGAGGTGTTACAGAAGGCCTACCGCAAAGTCTCCCGCGCCGTCCATCCGGACAAGGGTGGCAGCCCTGAGGACGCGCAGCGGCTCAACGCGTTGCGAGATGGCTGGCACGAAGCACGTCGCGGAGGGCAGCCCGCGCACCGGCCGATGAGGCGGCCAGCTGCCGCGGACGCCTTGGTGGAGCCTCGCCGCGCGTGTCGCGTCAACGCCATGGCCGTCCTGCTGACCTACCAGAGCTGGCCAGCTGATGCTGGCGCTGCCACTTGGGCAGCCTTCTGCGACTTCGTAGCAGGACACCTTGGAGCCTGGGGTGTGAAGCACTGGGCCGCAACGATGGAGTCCAATGCAGCAGGAACGCACCACATGCATCTCATGGTCCAGTTCACCGCTACAGTTGACCTCCCCGCAAGCCGCTTCATGTTTGAAGGCAGGCGGCCCAACGTGAGCACGCATGACTACCTGGGCGAAGGCGTTTGCAAGAACAAGTTGCAGCAGTCCATCGACCGCGGCATGTTCTACGTGTGGGCCAACAAGTGCGGCACAGCTCGGCTTGCCGACGGTAGCCTCTGTGTTGCGGGCAACTATGCCCCGTGCTGGACGACCGCAGAACGGACATACCAGGTCCTCGGCAAGTGGCCGGAAACCTTGTGGAAGCAACGCAAGCTGGAGACATCGCAGTATGAGGACTACTTGTTCCTCTGCCGTGATGGCGTCCTGGCTCGCAAGCGAAACCTGGATGCGGTGAAGGAGCATGAAGCAGCAGTCGCCGAGGCCAAGGTCATGGAGGAGAACAAGCGCCGGCTCAAGGGCAACCCGGCGGTCTACCGCCCCTTTCCCATGGTTCCTCTTGCTCAGGACTGGCTCGCAGGCTTCCAAGAGGATCGGCTGCGCTACCCGCTGCTGGTGGTGCTGGGTGCGTCACACACAGGAAAGACTGAGTGGGTCAAGTCCCTCTTCAAGCATCCTCTGGAGCTGAAGGTGGGGAGCCTGCAAGTGTTTCCTGAGTCGATGCGTGCCTTTGACAGGACCGTGCACGACGGCCTCATCTTAGACGACGTTCGCGACCTCGACTTCCTGGCCGAGCATCAGGACAAGTAGCAAGGCAAGTATGATGTCCAGGTGGAGTTCGCGACGACACCAGGCGGCACGTGTGCTTACAAGAAGTATATGTTTGCAGTGCCCATCGCCGTCACGGTCAACTTCAGCACCAGGCACCTCGAACACCTTGAGACTCATGACTGGTTGAAACAAGGCAGCAACCGTGTCATTGCAAGGTTCCCAGAGGTTCTGGGCCCAGGCGTCTAAGAATGCTTCACCAAAACCATTGCACGCATGCGGCTCCGCTGGAAAAATGTGCCTCGTGCGAAGTGTCCCACCCACGTGAAACCTGTCTTGCCTCCGGAGCAGCGCCTTCCGGGCCAGCATGTCCGAGTATGCCGTGCAAGAGTCTCCATGTCGGTACCGTCTCCATGCCAAGTATCCACGCCGAGGTAGAGTCTCCATGCCGGGCCAGAGTATCCATGCCGCACCAGAGTCTCCATGCCAGGCCAGAGTGTCCATGCCGGGCCAGAGTATCCATGCCGGGCCGGCGTCGGCCGTGCCGTGCCCACGACAAGTGTCTGCGAAGTATCATGCTCGGTCGCAGCCATTGCAGCATCATGCCCGTCGTCACTGAAGTGCGACATCCCAAGTCGCTAGACTTTGCGAACGAGCGCGAGGTCCTGCACCTGCGTGATGTTCATGGCTGTGAGTGGGCGGACATCTGCCGACAAGTGGTAAACTTGCAGGGCGAGGCTCCAAGTCTGTCACTCGTACAGCGCGTGCACAAGGCATTCAACAAGCGGGCTGGGCAAAGGAAATATCAGTACGACAGATGTGGACGGAAGCCCTTCAAAGTCTCCGCAGCCGTGGAGAAGTTCATCATCAAGCGGCTCCTGGCCTTGCGTCTCGTGTCTGCGTGCACCGCGACCACACTGCGCCGAGAGGTGCTCCGTGCCAAGCGCGTGGATCTGGACGAGTCCACCGTCCGGAAGGTCCTGCGCAAGCATGGCTATCACTGGCTCCCTCGGTCACAGAAGCGCAAGTACAGTGCCAAGCAGAAGAAGGAGCGCCTGCGTTTCGCGCGAGGAGTTTTGCGGTTAACGAAGGTGCAGCTCCGTGAGAAGCTGTCCTTTGCCATGGATGGGGTCATTCCCTCGGTTCCGCCAAAGACTGCCACGGACCGTCAGAACTACATCGCCCAAGGCGAGACGCACATGTGGCGGCGACGTGGCGAGGCTTACACGGAGGGCTTGGCTGGGCAGAACCCGTACCCTCAGCAAGTTCCCCTGGACCGAGCCGTGCCACTCTGGGGCGGGCTATCCGAGGGCGGCTTCGCCATCGTGACCTGCCATGCCGCTCGTAAGCTTACAACTGCAGAGTGGTGTCGCGTTGTACGCGCCGGACACCTGCGGCGAGCCATCCAAGCGCTACACCCTGTGAAGAAGCGTGGGCCATGGAAAGTCCTGTGCGACAATGAGAAGTTCCTTCACACGGCTCCATCCCGAAGTGCGATGGCCACTGAAGGAATTTCCGCGTGGCGTGTACCTCCATCCTCGCCCGACCTGAACCCAGTTGAGAAGATGTGGTCATGGCTGCGGAGGCGTGTCAGACAAAAGGACCGTGAGGACCTGAGGAAACGACGGCCTCCTCTAGGCAAAGCAGCTTTCCAGCTGCGTTTGCGGAGCATTCTCGCGTCCAAGACAGCGCAGGATGTCGCAGCACGTATCGCGGGCACCTTCCGCAAGACATGCCAGGATGTCGTGGCTAGGAAAGGGGGCATGGCCAGAGCATAGCTGGCGCCCGGTCTCACTCTCAAATGCCCTTATGCAGGAATGGACGACCCGGAAATGCCGCTGCGGCAGGACAAAAGTTCGCCA